CTCTTGCACACTGTGTCCATCACCATTATTTGGCTATTATCATGGTGCTGAAGAAGATTTTGCACCTTTGGCAGCATCTGCCTGAAGGGACTGATTTCCTTTTTCTTTGAGCCCCTGTTTTCTCCAATTCTGTTTAGCACTTTATGTATTTTGGCACTTTATCTTTTTTTGTTTTTGTTTGTTTGTTTGTTTGTTTTGTTTTTAGGTATGAGGTTCAAGGAAATAAGCCCCAAATATGGAGAATTAAAAAATTTTCAACAAGCTGTTTTGGCTTTAACACCACTTCACTGACTGGAGAAATTTGTATTTTGAAGTATAGTTTGTTTAATTAACGATTAGATTTTCTTAAACTATTAACTATTTAAACCAACTATTTTATTATATTATTGTCAGTATGACCAAAGTCATTAAAACATCTCAGTCAGAATATACTTTAAATTGCAAATTCATTTCAGGAATTTCTTAAATAAAATCCCAAACCCACATATGAGTGTAAATGAATTCAAAATTCAAACTTCTGTGCACACAGCTTGGACTGATCAGTCGGTTTTTGAAAGGATAGCTCAACATTTTGGAAAAATATGTTTAGTCACTCCTTATCCACACAAGGAGTGATTTGCTCATGGCACATCACTTTGTGGTTGATGGTTGGTTTCTTGCAGAAATTCCAGTCTCCGATTGCCTAGATAACCCTCTACGTTACCCTGTTTACCCTACCCTGTCAATAAAGTACATCCTGCACTCTCGTTAGTATTTGCTTTAGTTATTCGCCTCAAAGCTTAGAAAAGCCTTCTACACAGGCAATTTCAGCAAAAGAGAACAAAGAATAATAAGCTAAATCCTCACCTGAATAGCTGCTTTAACAGTAACAATCCATATAAATTTCACTCAGTAATAAACTGAATTTGATAACTGGGATTGGCACCAGCTCCTCCACAGCCCTGAATTGGATAAGCAGAAGAAAATGGATGGATGGATGATACTGCAGCAAATGCAGAATATAGCAGTTATTGCATGTTCATCCTGGGGGAATGTTTAGTGTCGCTATCTTAAAAAAAATGAATATAATGAATATAAGCCAATGTAAGCCATAGTTTTTTTATATATGACAGAGGGTAAAGCACATTTTTATGTGGTGAAAGGGAAAAGGAAACCAAGGGGAAGACAAAATATATGCCTCAGTGTGTGATTTAAAAAACCTTTTCAACCTTAGCTATCTTTTGCTACAACAAAATCATATCATATTGCTTTGTTATCTCTCTTTTAGAATTGCAAGTTTATCAAAACTTTTTCCAACGCTGATGCTGTACAAGCTGTGGGAGGACGGGAAGATTGGCTCCCTTGATGACCCTCTGGAGAAATATGTGGAGAACTTCACCATCAAAAACCCTTTGGGGAAGATGCGAGACTCCGAGTTGAAATATGTGACAGATGGCCTGATATTTCTCGACAGTGGAGAAGTTCAGATCCGCTCATCTTCAGTCACTCTGCGGAGGATGGCTAGCCAGCTCTCGGGTACATATTTATACTATATCCCTATGACCTTAAAATAACACTGAATTTTAGCCTTTTCTTGTTAAAAGAAAACAAAATGCTTCAGCAAAGCGGCAGTTGACTTTTGGGTTTGCATGAAACAGCTTTTTGTCAGCCAATAAACAGAAATTTATAAATCACAAATTTATCTTTATGCATAATTCATGTGTTAAATATCTGATTGAACTTTAAATAATTTCAACCAGCTACTATTGTGACACCAAAACAGCCCTGACCTGTCACGGCATGGACTCTTCTAGACCCCTGAAAATGTGATGTGGTATTTGGCACCAAAATGTTAGCAACAGATCATTGAAGGTGCTGCAAGCTCTGAGTGGGGCCTCTGTGGGCTGGACTTGTTTGTCCAGCACATCGTACAGATGCTCCATTGGACTGACACCTGGGGAATTTGGAGACCAAGTCAACACCTCAAACTCATTGTTGTGCTTCTCAAACCTTTCCTAAACCATTTTTGCTTCATGGCAGGGGCACATTATCCTAGTCAAAGCAGCCACAGCTAGATACCACACCTTTCTATTAGAACTAGCATGAACTTTTCAGCAATTTAAGCTAAAGTAGCTTGTCTGTTGGATCAGGCAACAGGTGGCAGCTTTTGTTCCCGATGTGTGTTAATGGACCTTGGCCCCTCATGAACCTGTCGCTGGTTCACCACTGTTCCTTCCTTGGATCAATTTTGATAGATGCTGACCACTGCAAACTGGGAACACCCACAGGAGGGGCCGTTTTATAGATGCTCTGAACCAGCCATCACAATTTCACTCGCTATCCTTTCAGTTACATACTCCCTAATATCTTCCACCCACTAACAGGTGATGAAGATATAATTAGTGTTATTCACTTCGCCTGTCTGTGGTCATAATGTTATGCCTGATTAGCATATACATGACTGTATGGTTTTCCATTTTAAAACACCAATTTGTACCGGCCTAATAAGGAGACTGATTTTGCCAGTGGTCCAACTTGCAGAAATATTGTCTCACCCTCTCCTTTGAGAGAATGTTTATCAAAGGTCTGCTATTCTTTTTCTATCTCTCTTCCGCCTCTTCCAGTTTCCAGTTATTGTTCCAATATCACTCAAGCTACTAATAGCTACAAACACTCTTCCAGTGTTGTTCGTGCAGTTGACCTTTTATTATCCCAGGAGATTTGGTGGCAGACAAAATTGCACAGTGAAAGTGAAGCTTCTCGGGAACCATTCAACAGTCTATCAAAAATGTCAGAAAAACAAAATGAGACCAACTTTGAGAGTATGTGCCTCAAGAAACAAATTTTTGATTAAAAACCTCTTGAGATTATTTCCTTTCAGAGGAAGAAAGAATCCCAAGAGCCATTAGGTTGCACTTAACATCAAAAGCTAAAGCAAAGAAAATTAGCTGTTGCCACTTCAAGGTTGAATTTATAATCAAGCTGGAACAATAGAAGGGAACAAAGGGACGGAAGAGGTTTCTAGGAAAGCTCTTGCTACATGCTTGATTCCTGCAACAATATTTATTTATTTATTTAGCAACAATATTTCTGGAGACTAATGATGCTTTATGGATCGATTTTGAGCGGAAGCAAATGATTCATGAACTGATGAGCCAAGTGGCAGTAAAGCTACTATTACTGTGTCACGATGAAGAATTTGGTGCTTTTCCACAGCACAATAAATTCAGTCCGTCTGGATTTTGAAGAGTGGTTCAGACCCCTCAGTAATATGAAGGTGTCTTTAGAAAGTTGCCATTTTTTATAGAAAGTTGCCAATTTTCTGACATATTCTGACAAACAATTAATGGATGAAGGACAACAACAATGTAGCTGGTTTGACCTCTCTTTTTTGTCGGAGGCGATCGTAGCTCAAGAGTTGGGAGTTCGTAATCGGGAGGTTGCCGGTTCGAGCCCCGGCTCCGACAGTCTTCATCGTTGTGTCCTTAGGCAAGACACTTCACCTGTTGCCTACTGGTGGTGGTCAGAGGGCCCGGTGGCGCCAGTGTCTGGCAGCCTCGCCTCTGTCAGTGCACCCCAGGGTGGCTGTGGCTACAATGTAGCTTGCCATCACCAGTGTGTGAATGTGTGTGTGTGAATGGGTGGATGACTGGTTGTGTAAAGCGCTTTGGGGTCCTTAGGGACTAATAAAGCGCTATACAAATACAGGCCATTTACCATTTTGTCATTTGAAGACATTTAAAATCGTTTCTTACTGTTCTAATTTAATCTTAAACATCTATGATCTTTTCACTTTCATTGTATAAGTAAAGCAGACATTTAAAGGCGCTTGCACTACTTGCAGTAAAAAATATCCAACCCTCAGGTGCTGTTTAGACTTGTAACATCTATTCAGATAAGACTTCAGATAAGAGTTGCAATGAACATGCCTAAGCAGGAAACGGTTAATCTGAAGAATTTTTAAATAAGTAACACTTCTGTCTGTGTAAAGAATTTAAATATGAGACGCACATCTATTGCAAGGAAGGATAATAGGTCTTTAAATATCCATCCATGTCTCACAATTTGTCAACAAGCCAGAGTGGCTGAACATCATAAACCTTTATAGAAAACTGGTCAAATATGTCACGTACAAAGAAAGTGCTGTTATAAGGTAAATTAAATCATATTAGAGTGAAGATACGTGTTTGAGAAGGCTAAAGTATACTAATGCAATTCACCCTTAAATTCACCCTTAGTAATTTACTAATTTTACTTTTCATTTTATTTATTTTTTAAATTTAACACTGTTTTGCTGTTGTTTAATCAAGGCCTGCCCAGGAGGCTCCGAGCTACAAATTTGCTTTGGAAAGGAAAAACTCAATCTGCAATCAATCTTCTACAAGATGATGTCCTCGTTGCGGATCCAGGCACCAAGTATGATTTCTTTCATTGCGGTGACATCAGTGTTTTCATGGGGAAATTCTGACCAAGCAAATAAGTGTTCCTGCAGTGTACAAATATTATTCTGTTACTTATTTCTTACATTAGAACTACATTCTGCTTCGTAATGACAAAAACTGTAATTACAATAATCCCTCTTGATGCTACTTAGATTTTACCTGGGGAGGATGTATGATTATATGTCAAGTTTAATTGGCTCAGGTCTTTCCACATACTGTCCCTGTCTCTACATATTACACTGATTAGTAAAATATTTGACCTTTGAGTAAGCGAGTGTTTTCAAGTGATATTTTAATATCTCCAGCACCACATTGTGTTTGTATTAAACCTGCAGGGACCTGAGCTCAACTAAGAAATAGTCCATCAAATATGATTTGGAAACAACGTGTCATTTTTATTCTTTAATATTTGTCCCGATGAAACAAACAAGAATTAATATTTGAGTGAATCGGTCTTTAACCTGCTAGCTCCATATTGCAAAGTCTCTGTGATGTTGTACTGCACCCCCAAGGGAGCAGTCTATATTGCGTTCTCTGCTAGTGAATGGGATTTTTATGTGCTAGGCTTCCTGCATTTTCTGTCCAAAGAGCTCGCTCACTTAAATTACATGGAATATTTCAAGTATGGTGATATTTAAACGTGAATTATCATGTATTCTTCTTCATTCTCCCAATGCTTTTTATATTTGTTCTTGCAGATGTCACTACAGTAACCTTGCCTTCTCACTACTCGCTCATGTGATGGCAGAGCGAGTGGCCGGAGTTGACTACCAGCGATGGATCACAGAGAACATCCTGGACCGGCTGGGGATGGAAGACACCAGCTTTGACCTCACCCCAGGGATGCAGAGCCAATTGGCTGTTGGAGTGTACTCAAATGGAAAACCAGCCCCACTCTATGACCTCGGCTGGTATCGGCCTTCTGGTCAGATGTTCTCAACAGCTGCAGATTTGGCCAAGCTTGCAATGATGCTGCTGGGTGCGTATCATCGCAAGCTGCTGGAGCCAGACTCTTTGAAGATTATGCTGACCCCACTCTTTAGGTGCGATAAGGATTATTTTGCTAACCGTACTGGAACGCCATGGGAGGTGAATGAACTGATGGGCTATGAATTGTTGCGTAAAGATGGGGATTTGGATGGCTACTCTGCCACTTTTTCCCTGGTTCCCAGACTGAAGCTTGGCCTAGTGGTGCTAATGGCAGGCAGCCGATCTCAGAAACAGGATGTGGTCACAAAGGCCTACAACCACATTGTCCCAGCCATAGAGAGAGCCTTCAGGGAGGCCAAAAAGGTCCTTGTTGCTCCTCCAAACCCTGATCATTACATTGGATTTTTCACTTACAGCAACATCACTTTCTATGAGATCAAAGTAGGGCCAGACGGAGTCCTTATCATGCAGCAGTTTGGTCCTCAGATTGAAGAGCTCATACCAGAGAAGTACAGGACAATAAAACTTAACTACCTGGTTGATCGTGTGTTTAAAGTGGTGTTTGAAAAAGAGTACCCTTGTGTTTTGCGAGTCGGCACCGCTTCAGTGTCCCTGGAAGCCCAAGATGGCCAATTATTTAACTTCTACGTGTTTAATAAGCAGGGTTTATCTCCAGGTTTTGATGCACCAGGGCTGAACACATATAACGTGGTCAGAATACCCCGTAGGCCAACCTTCTCCAGCTGAATTGCAACCGTGTTGTGGCCTAAAGACAAACGTTGTGTCCTTGGGATGTGTAAGGGGATTAAATAGACATTATAAAATATCAAAAGACTGAAGTGAGATGTTGCGATTATTCTAGAGGTCAAAGACATGATATTGCTTTTGATGTACAGAGAGCACAGATAAGCATGGCATCATGTTCATCCAGCTGTATAATGTCCTTCAGAGAAAATGTATTAAATTCACTTTTGAACGATGCATATGAATATCCTTCTCACGCTGGCCCTTCATTACACTTGAGAACTAAACAATTCACACTGTGGTGAGAGTGCTTGTGTTTTTTTTTCCTGTGCTTCATTTGAATTTTTTTTCTTTCTTTTCTTGAGTTTTCATTAGACAGAACTGGAGAACAGCTCTTATTGTGGCCATTTACATGAATAGTTACATTCATTCTATATTCAACTCTTAAACTGTGATTTTAAGAAATATGTCACTCATACATATTCATCTTTCTCTGGAAAACAGAGTGTTTGTGTTACTTTACTCATGGCAAGTAGAAGTAGAACATTTAAATGGCAAACTGGAATGTCACCTATTAAATAGGTATATTGCCACAGATTTGAAACTGCTGGGTTAAAAGCAACAAACAAGCACCGACATGTCACTAAGGTACAAATTGTTTTTGCTCCACAATAAGAGGCGATTAAGGACAGGAACACTTCTGGGTGCCTGTGTGACTCTTTTCTGTATAATCCCTGAAAATGGACTCATTCATACCGACCTCTAACACCAATATGAATATGAATACTCCACTCCAAATGCTGCGAGAAGATAACACATTCAAGAGGACAAAAGTAACGTATTATGCAAAGGCCGATATTTTGTTTTGTATTAGACAGCATGTCTGAGAATTTTATGGAAATGAAATCTGTACTGAAAATGTTTAGTGTTCAAGCATCCAGTCCAATGAGTGAAAGTGAGTGAATGTGAATGCAAATCTCCCTACTGTATCCATTTCATCCTGCTGTGGCTTGCAGAACTGCCATTCTGCTATTCAATTCAATGTTGTCACAGCTGATGGATTAAAGCTTATTCTGATCAATAGTGGAACGCATAAAATATAATTTGACTCGTGCAGTGTAGTGGAAAATTAAAACAAAAAACAAAAAAACAAAACACCTATTATACCATGCTTCAATTCTCAACCATTGCTCAAAGGATTGGCCAATATGCTAAAAATTCTCAACTATAATAACAGCTGTCAGTATATTTAGAGAGGTGTGTGTGTGTGTGTGTGTGTGTGTGTGTGCGTGTGTGTGTGCGTGCATGTATGGAGGGCCCCTGCTTCAACAGTAATCACTCATAACAAAAAAGCGCAGAAAACCACCTGCTGGAAAGCCAACGGCGAGGCCAATGGGCCTAAAAGAGAGAACTGATTCAAGGATACCTAAATAATAAGCAAAAAGGTAAGAATAACATATTCTATTGCTAAGTGAGGTGGGTATACAGCCTGTAATATGTGGTGGGATTGGTAAAGACTACCATATATTTAGGCCAGCAACACAAGGGCAGTAGGACAACTTACTAGTGACTCTAAAGACACAAGACATTCAACCAGTCAATCTGTCCTAGCTTATTATTTTGGTTCAAACCACACTAGGTCTATAAACTTTTGTGGAAAAAGAAATTTCATAATGCAATCACGGTGATGAATAAACTCTTCAGTTTCATGGTTCCGTAATCAAAATAACAGCACTCTAATAATGTGTTGCCAGCATTTACATAGTTCAAACATGTGACATCTATGTATAGACTGCTTAATATTTATTTTGCTTTTGAATTAGCCATTGCACAATAGCCATAATCAGTTTTCATTTTTGCAATCACAGTGAATAACAGCTTACCGGCTGGCCATGCAACAAGAGAAAAAAAACCCCCCAAAAACATTAGCAACAGCTCACAATAAATTATCACATTCTTTGTCCCACTGAAACACAGAGACATATACTACTTCTTTTTGCAAATTAGCATCACGTTAATTTTCAGGTACAACATATCAATTACAACATGTAATCATTTGGTTCAGATCGATCTGATGTTCCACTTTCCGACATAAGGCATACAGCAGTTAAAAAATAAGACGGCAGGTAAAATGTGCAGGCACTGTTGTCAAAAATTATTCAAAGCTTCAAACAAAGGATAAATAATCATTTTACATCCAAGCTTTTTAGTGACATGTAATAAGTTTAAGAAAATAGCAAAACATACTGGAAAATATGCTTATCCACATCCTTTGCTAGGAGTATATGAGAATATCCACAATACTACTGCTAAATATGATACTGGAGCTACAGGAAAGCTAAGCAACTAAAGACTGTAAATATAGAGGGACGGTTAGCTTGGCTCTCAAAGATTTAAAAAACAAATATATGCCCTTTACCCTTACAATGTATTTTTAAGGGTATCTTGATATTTTAAGAAAGGGGGGTCTTCTAAAAAACTACTCTACACTACTCTTCTCCAGTGTAATCTGTGCTCTCCAAGCCAATCAGCCAGTAGTTCCTATTATCTATCCTCACTGGCACTGTGCCCTTTAGGCATTGCTTCTCCCTATCTCAATCTCAGACTGGTTCTTCAGTGAATCTCATCTTCATGGTGTTCATCAACCATATTTTTCCTCCACCATCACTAAACATCAGGGGGTCCAGTCCCCAATAACATCATGCTCCATAGTCTCATCAGCCTAACTGCCAAAAATTCCTACATTTCCAGTGTCATGACTTTGCAGTAGATTTTGTTATTTTCTTCTCTTTGCACTAAAATACAACACGAAAGCAACGTTTGGGTTTACATGGCTCATCAACTAGAACCTTTTTTGCTTTTGAGATGAGCCAATGTTAATAAAAGGGTCAGAGACAAGCAGACAAGACAGTTTTATTACATTATGACACAGCCTACTTGTCCTCATTTGTTTCAAGTCTCAGTTCTAAGCTAAGCTCATTTTCTTCTGGTAGTATTCATCATACAGCATCATGTCAGCAAATTTTGGAAACAAATAAACCTAAGGTCCAAAATGTTAACCTGTCAGGTTACAATATTTCTGCACCAGATGCTTTCTAGCTTGTTCAAATAAAATGTCAGAATACAGAGGTCTTGCATGTTGTGTCTGTACAAGCACATGTGAGGATTTCAGTGTCCATACTCAGTGTCATGTTAGGAGACAGCAAAGGGATGAAAGCATTAGAGTCCTTCCCCTCGGCCTGACCCCTTGAACTTGCAACGGAGGGATCCAGCAAAATTTTAGGAAAAGGAGGGGAGTCTCTGACAGAGTTATTGTCCTCCCCCTGGGAACAGACAAGTTCTCGAAAACACTCTCTGAACCGCGTGGAGAGCAGGCTGTAGATGATAGGGTTGACTGCAGAGCTGAGGTAGAAGAAGACGCCCGACAGGATGTGGACATATTGATAAATGTTGTGCATCAAGTCGGTCCACTGGCTGATAGAGCTCCACAGGAGACGCTCGATGTGAAAGGGTGCCCAGCAGACTCCAAACACTGCCACCACGATTGCTGGAGAGAAAGATGATGAATACATTTATTTTTGCAGAACAGATTTGAATGTTAAAATTAAACTTTTTGGCTTGTGGTCCTTTATAAAAATCCACTCTACGGTTTATGAGTTCTTATCAATAGTTAGTGATCCAGCCATAAAATGATTTATCTCCTCAACTTTATTTGAAAGCCTGTTTAAACAAACTGAGACAAACGTTTCTAAAAGGAGTACACAGGTTTGTGGAGAATTTCTTCTTCTTCTTCTCATTTTCATTTAAAACAGCTGTATATGGATGGACTAGAGTTAGGTGTTCTGGTGTGTTCAGTCAGTGTCATGCTATTGCACACATTGCATTAGCGAAACTTGAAAGAATAGCATGTTCTTGCCCTAGGGTTTAAATTACTCTTATTCTGTCATTGCTGCTGACATTATGAATTTGTCAGCTTGTAGGCTCCTGTTTGGTCCGGTTTGTGAGCCAAAATGGCCGCACGGTGAAAATAAGGTTTAGGAACATATTATGTTTTGATGTTAAAATGTTCCTTTCTGACCACATCAGTCTTACTATGCTTATGCAATGGACCTATATGCTCATATTTTCTTACCATGTTTGTTTTAAACATCCATAAATGACAAAAGACAGCTTGTGTCAACAGCTTTGAAAAAATGACAGCGTTTAATGCTCCAGGAATGAGAATGAGGTCGTAAGAAGGACGGATAAACAGCTGTATTCATGACCTTTGTGGTAATTGTGAAGTAATTTAGTTAAGTTAGATTGCTTATTGATGCCCTTAAGGCAAATGAGTCAAGAGATTCTTAAAAATGGAAATTCAGCATATCATTATCCTTTAACTGAAGTTCTTGTTTAGCAAATGCTGCACTTCAGCAACCACAATATATCAAAGACATAGATTGTAGACTCCTAACAGAGTCTACCATCTTGGCTTACAGATAAGACTAGAAACCAATTCAAACAGGTATTATAAGTCTTATCAATTTTAGGGTTTAATGACTGTTCTTAGCCCAATGTAAATGCTTCATTCTGTGCAAGAAACAATGTTCAGCATTTTTTGATGATGGAGCACAAATACATTCCTCGCCAAATAATCTAGGCATAATGCTCTCAGGGGCTCTCCCTGCAGGAGGTCCAGCAGGCACAGGCAGCGTTTGGCTTTTTATGATCGTGGGCATATGGCATCAAGCTTTGTTTGGGGGCACTCAACACACTGCCAAGATATTTACATTTATAAATATGGCATTTAGCACTTGGTTTTGTTCTTTCTTTCCCAGACTACAGTGATTCGCATAGTGCATTTTAACTTTTTCATTTGTCTAAAGCTTCATGGTTAGGATAAAATGCTGCATTTTACAGTTTTTTTTTTAAAGAATCATATTTATATTCTTTATCATCTTGTTCCAGCTCTTCATTAAAGATATATTTATCCTGGGTGAAATACTTGGACCGCGAAACCATATTTTTCTCTGTGCAGTTTTTGCATAATTGTTACGTGTGTGTTTTACTAAGTCAAGGCTGATGTGTTTGATGTGTTTGGAAACTTTATCTTTACTGTAATATAAGAGAAACTTTGGTAACAAAGTTTGGCTGAACAGCATGAATTGACAACAGGAATTGTTGTCAAGAACACAGGGTATATGTGTGAAGATGTTCAGTATGAAAATACAGCTTGATGACCAATAAGTAGCTTTCAGCTTGCTGCGCTTTTAGTTGTTGATAGTGAGTGGAAATCAATTAAAGAGCTTTTATCGAGTTAGCTGCTCATAGATGCAAATGTTAAACCTTTTTAAAAACTAAAATATGCATGTCATTTTTCCTGAAAGTCATTGTATTGCAGCTACTTTACATGGGAAACACACGTTAAAAACAAAACCAATGTTATTTTACTATAAATTACTATTTGACTAGAAGAACAAGATAAGGAGGATGATGACAGAAGCAGTCTGATCAACTGTGCAAATCAAAACAATCACAATCTTTTTTATCATACATTTCATATTTATTCTTTTTAATTTGAATTTTATCACCCATTCTCCAGAACAGATGACATTCCTGATAAAGGAATCCACCTGCAGTGAAACCAGAAAGCATCCCCCAAACCTCTTGTGAATTTATCAATATTTCTAAAAGATCTTCAGTTGGGATTCTTTTAAGAAAAACATAATTTAAAGGTCCCCTGTGATGTTTTAGACAGCTATGGATTTATTTGTTTTTGCACCTGTTTTCTGTATCTCTCATGCAGTTGCACAGAAACTGCACAGAGAGATGTGTTGCACGGAGCCAACAAAGGCAGAGGAAGCTAGCTGTTGTGCTTTAGAAGAAAAAGCCATGCGTTCAGCACTTCCATTAAGCCTCATGAATTTACATTTCACACCTTGGACTGTAACATTGAACATAAACACAACTTTTATTCGTTTTGAAGAAAACTCCACAAGTTTCCTGCAATTTATTTGGCTTTTAGAGGTCTGGGAAAAATAACTCTCAGACGGAATGTGCTACATATGAGGTAAATATCTTCTTGTAATATGCTGCTCTACAGATGCAAAGATAAGAATAAAGAAATGTCTTTATTTTTAAGTGTTGCTGGTATTTTGTATGCAGCTGGGGCAGTTAGATGTTTTTTTGTTGTTATGATGGCTATAAATTTGGTTATATGCTTTTATTTAACTCGCAAATATCAGCACGGATATCAAAAAGTACAGAAAAGGTCAGGGTATAAGTTCATTTTTCAGCGTTTCATTAAATAAATCACCGGTGTGTTAGCTAAAGAAGCAGTTTAAAATTCACCTTTAGGCCTTGAAATATTAGATATTTGTGACTCAGGGTGCAATATCAGTTAGAAATTAACGATATATGGGGGGGTGGGGGTGGGGGTGCTTGTTTGCTTGTTGCAGGTTTTTAAATAAAAACATAACAAAAAAGTAACGACTAATTTCTATACTGTGAAATTATGACTGGCTGTACAAATACAATGAGAATAGCATCACCAACATCCACTCTAAACTCCTGAGAGGAGCTATGACAAAAGCTTAAATGCAGACATTTCCTGTGACATTACCACTATCACTCTGATAATTATGTTCATAATGGATATTCGGATAATTTACTCTTTGCAATAATTGCCAGTTGGTTCAGAAAATAGGTTTTCAGATTGACTCCTGATGCTATTTTTTGCCAGTTATTATTTTTGCCATTCGTAGTGTGAGAATCTTTAGATCATAGGTGTCAAACTCTGGCCCGCGGGCCAAATTTGGCCCGCAGCCTAATTACATTTGGCCCGCAGCCTAATTACATTTGGCCCGCGAAGCCATACCAAATTACTATTAGAGCTGGCCTACTGGTATTATACAGCTAATATATATATTGTTTAGTATTAAGCTTTGCTTGTTCCATATTCAGTTTTTCAGCGAAACGTGTTTGAGTCCATAAGAAAAGATTCATCCTTATATCTGGAGGAATAAATATATTTCAATAAATATTAACGTTAGCCCGCGACTTTGTTCCAGTTTTGAATTTTGGCCCACTGTGTATTTGAGTTTGACACCCCTGCTTTAGATGGTGGATGTAATGGGAAATTCCTCAATGTCAAAAAACAAATAGCTACAGCAAAAGGGTCTTGCTTTTGCTGTAGCTATTTGTTGTCAAGTTGCAGAATTAGGAGATGCAACTGAAAAGGAAGCCCTTCGGAATCTTAATGATCCATCCAAACTGCTGATAATCCTGTGTCATTATTTACTCTCTGTTTTCGTCATGTTTTGTCTATGGGATCATGCCTTGGCAGTGACAATACAGATTAGAGGAGATATGCTTTCAAGTCAGAGCAGCATGACAGAGCAATGCTTGCCTTTTGAAGAGAGAGGGAAAAAAAACTCACAGAGCATTTTGATGACCTGTCTCCTTCGGCCATTCTCCACTCTCATCTTCCTTCGAGTGCTGCAACAGTTCTTTCCCAGGTTCCCACTGGACTGCCGCCTTTCTCTCCCCAAATGAAGGCCCATGACTAAGTACAGCATGCTAATAACCATCATGGGTATAAAATAGAAGCAGACAGTTGTGATTTGCATGACCAGGTTATAGATCCACAAAGGTTTCAGCACAGTGCAAATAGCTGACTCCTCCATTCTCTCTGGCAGGTAGAAGATGCCGTGCAGTGAGGTGTTGGGGATGGCACAGATCATCGAAACCACCCACACAATGGTGATGACCCGTTTAGCGTGCTGGTTAGTCGACAGGTATCGTGTTTTGAGTGGATATACCACAGCTATGTACCTCTCCACACTCAGAGCTGTGACGTTAAGGATGGAGGCAAAGCACACAGTTTCAAACAGGAACGTTTTGAAGTAGCAGCCACCCTCACCAAAGGGGAATGGATAGTTCTGCCACAGGTCATAAATCTCCAGGGGCATCCCAAACAAAAGCACGAGAAGATCCGATACAGCCAGGCTCACAAGGTAAAAGTTTGTAGGATTACGCATTTTTTTATGCTTTGCAATCACTGCACATGTGAGCAGATTTCCAGACAAGCCAATGAGAAAGATGAGAAGGTAAACACTGGTCACTGGGAAGAAAAAGGGAGAGCGTTTCGGACCTAGGATTTCCAAGAGGTTGACCTCTGTGAACTGGTTGTTAGTATAATTCCCAGAGGCGTTGACAGGAATGCTGATATTGTGGAGCAGTTTTGATAAGGATAAGTTTAAAGAGGATCCCTGCAAAAAGAGGTCCATTGTTGAGAGGAAGGCTGGAGGAACAAATGAAGGTGTCAAAACATCCTCTGCTGGTTTCTTGGGGTATTCAGTGCTGGGGTGTTGCTATTAAAAGAAAATTAAGAAGATAAAACAGACAGTGCCATGATCAGAAGAGGGTTTTTTTTCTGTTTAGCATCTCTTTGATGCTGCTTATTGGGGTCAAACTTAAGCTTAATATTTCTTCATCTTGTTTAATGAATAACTTCTCGACGAATGCATAAATTCACACAACATGAGACCTAATTTTATCTAACCTAAAAGCTTGGCAGTTATTATTGTTGCCATTTTGGGGGATTTCTGAGTGATTTTGTCCATAATATTTCTGAAAAAGCAAACATTTCCATTTCGCCTCAGAGAACCTCAAGGGACCATCAGTTTGAATCAAAACTTCATCAGAATAAAGTCAATTAGATGACAACAGCAGCATTTTTTTTCATTCTGGGTGGGAAAACTATTAACCTAATGCAGTTTCTGTTTCGCTCATGCATTTTCTATTATTCTCTTATTTTCCCTGTATCGCTCGGTTTTTGGCATCGTTTATGTCTAAAACAAACAACAGATGTTTCTTAAGATGCATCAGGCAGTGTGTGAACCAAGATTTTTCAGTGAATAAACTAATTAGTGTGATGATGTCAGTGGCGTATAATTCCAAACAAATAAAGGAAGCTTTAAGCTTGTTAAGTAGGTATGACACATCCTTGTTTGTATTTGCATCATTTTGCTAAAAGAGACTTTGTTGTTTCTATTTTAAATAGCAGTAGCAATAAAGAATTGAAATCCCACAGACTTATAGAAAAAGAAAATTTTCTGTCATTTCTGCATAGGTAGAAAAAAATCATAAATTTTTTACAGATTGCAGATTCCCTCGTGGACAGGAGATCATTGCTTTTAGTGGCAAAATAATATTACTAAACTCTTTCTCATCAGCTGATGACTGCTTGGGATAATTACCACTACACACACTGCACTGAGAGATGCTAATGACTTCATCTCAAAGGTTAATTATGTGGCCAAATCTCATGTGTTACTCGGCAACTCCAAGGTTATTGGACTAATATGATATCGACAGCATTATGAGAATTAACGTTAAATAGAGTTGAACATTATATTTATCTGACATGTCCATTAGGAAATATAACCAGCCTGCAGTTAACAAAAGATTCCAGTGACATTGTGTTTAATGTTTTTAAATCGTATTGCAAAATCGTTTATTAATAATTGGATATTTAAGTTGAACGGACTTAATTGTGCATTTTAAAATACTTACAAGCACTAGTGGAAAAAAAAAAATCAAAAGCAGACTAGATGCAGACAACCAACTAAACAGTTTCCCAAAAACTAAAACAACAGTTCAATGTAAAAGTAGAAATAAATTCTCACCTTGATTCTGCTCATCTGCAAGTCGTTTCTGACTATCCGCTCTCTGTGCGTTCATGATTGAGAATGACGAATCAAATAGCGCAAAAACGAAGCAAATTGAAATATCGATATATATATATATATATATATCAGCCTAATGCTGAATGAAAAGTTGTTTGACACGCTTCTGGTCGGTGGTTGAGGGGAAAGGAGATACTTGGAGGATCCACAGGGGAGGGGAGGGACTGTAAATGCGCTGCAGCCACGTTCCCATCACAGAGAGAGAGAGGGAGGGAGGGAGAGAGAAAGAGAGAGAGGGGGGGGGGGCGTTCCTGGGATCATACATCTGCTTAATTTATTTATTTAGGTTAGCCTATTAGGGTTGAATCATGAAGGGCGTGCGTAAGCTTTCATTCATAAAAAAAAACGCCAAGAAAGGGGGGATCTATAATTTTACACTTAATAATCCAGTAATAATCTACTGTAGCACTCTATGGCATTAGAATTAAGAAATATAACTGTTAAAGGTTGCTTCTGTTTTTGCACTTAAGGGTTAACGGTGTATTTTTTTTGAGACAGCAGAGGGGGTTGTTTCAGCAGGAACAATTATGTTTCAGGATTGCGTCATTGAGTCTATGGATTGCATATAATTGAAATTTCTGCATAATGGTCCACTGTAAAGAGATGAGTTAGCATAAAGCTCCAAGCAGATACAAATGATTCCTTCTTTCATAGAGGGCTGCATAAATAAGGAACAAAAAAGTGAGAGCCAGTGAAAATGATAATAGTTCATGTTTCCTTATTGTCATTCAACTCTGCCCACTTTAAGGAAAGCCAGTACATGAGGCTAGAAATGATAACAATAATAGTAATAAAAATCATAGTTAAAATGTAAAAATACTAAAGAAATCAGGTTGTTCAATTCAATTCAATTCAATTCAATTTTATTTATATAGCGCCAAATCACAACAAAAGTCACCTCAAGGCGCTTCATAGATACAGAGAAAATGAGCAAGCACTTTGGCGACAGTGGGAAGGAAAAACTCCCTTTTAACAGGAAGAAACCTCCGGCAGAACCAGGCTCAGGGAGGGGCGGCCATCTGCTGCGACCGGTTGGGGTGAGAGAAGGAAGACAGGATTAAAGACATGCTGTGGAAGAGAGACAGAAGTTAATAACAGATATGATTCAACACAGGGAGTCTGTTCAACTTTGTCTCATGAAACTAAGAAAATCATTTGATTTGTTGTCTTTGTTAGGTAAAAACTTGAATTAATGTGGATGCAAGAGCCAATAAATATCTCACTGGGGCTTATCCAAGCTGTGTTAGTGCATCTGTACATGTGTTCTGGCCTTGATTTATTTTCCATGGTTTAGAACTATGTGAGGGGTTTCAGCTGGCAAGCTCAGTTTGGAGTTCCTCATTCAGAAGTGCAGTCACGTCTTTTTCTTTTCTCTCAGTGTTCCTCTATGCTCACCAGCTGTAATGTAAACCCGAGGCACATTCTTCTTATAGCTCACCTAATTTACTATTACACGAGCCATCCTTCATGGAATGTGCAGCTTATTTTTACTGAAGCACAGGTGTGAGTTGAAGAAGCAAATCAAAGTAGAACTAGATTTGGATCCAGTCTCGTATTCACATGCTATAAAACTTGTTAGCCTCCGTCAGTCAATGGGGACAGAACACTGTCTGACATTGGGTAAAAGTCAGGCCATTACAGAGCTAACATGGAAAGATAGTCAACCATTCATGCTCACAACTACACCTACAGCCAATGTGTAATCAGCATACATATATTTGGACAGGAGGAGGAAGCTAAAGCAACCCAAAAACAGAGGCAGAGAACATGCTTATATGGTAGTGACTTGTCTGCTGTGGAGCATTCCCGTCTTTATCCTTATTTTTGACTCTAGTGGCGATCATCATTTTCATTTTAATGCACAGCAAGATGTTGTATTTAATAGCACCTGAAACTACCAGTTGAGACCTTAAAGTAATACACAAAATTGAGGTCATAGACAAGCGTGGAAAAGTGTGATTTTCTCTGTAGATTTCTATTCAGACATACGTTTTTTCATAACCCAAAGAGTTTCCATTAGAAAAAATAGAGGTTTAAAGCACTTTTTGCACTGGTTTCAATCTTCAGACCCCAAAGCTTTATACATAACATCTGTGATCCAGGGAGATGACATTTTCCTGTGAGATTAACTTAAATTGAAACAAAGAGAGGGTCTGTGTGCTTATATCAAAGCTAGATTTAAATAGAAGCCTACATAACTTACTGTAACGTTTTTAAATCTTATTTCTAACATTTTTTCTTTAACTCTTACTGTGAAAATAGAATTTAATCATGTGTAAAGGTATAAATCTTTGCAGCTCCTTTACTCCTTTGTTTTGTTACACATATTTATTAGTTTGTTAGCACCCCGTGAACAGCTTTGCTTTTCTAAAATAAACACTTAGACCAACTAATTATTATTTTTTTTGTGGTCATGAAAATCACCTATAAAAATAACAACTGACCTGGCTTAATTTTCATGGGGACATGTCACTCTTGCCACTCTACTGTTTTTATGTTGCTGAGTGAAGTGCTTAAATGGGCATTTAAACCGTTTTTGCTTGCTGCAGTGATTCCTCTTGAAAGCCAGTGATGGCTTTTTCTGTCACTTTTTCTTCTTCTCCCATGCTATGAGAGCCTGCTTTTCAAAGTCCACCTTCCTATTCAGCTGGGAAAAAAACAACAACAACTGATTTGTGACATGGTTCAACAGCATGTCTTAGGTAACAGCTCTCAGACGCCATGACCCAGCCTTAAGTGTGAAGGTTGCATAGAAAAGTTGTAAGGACTTTTTGAGTTTTGAACTTGTCCAGCAAGCAATCCTGCCCTGTTAGCTTTAATGTTGTAAACAGCCTCCTGATGCGTTAAGTGACATTTTGACTAAATAATTAAAGTAAAAAGTCATTATTATAGAATACACCAATGAATGAATGTGAGAGTGAATGAATAGTGGTATTGTAAAGCGCTTTGAGGGGTCCCGAAAAGCGCTATATAAATGCAATCCATTATTGTTATTATTATAGAACACCCGCTGTCTTATTAAGGCCGTCCAAAACAACTGTTTCACAATGCCTAGGCCTATGTTTATACCTCGGTGAAGACTGAGTTGTTTGTCCTGTGGTCAAACTGTGTGGAAGTACAAAATGTTTAAAAGCATGTCGGGCAGAATTTTAAGTGCCTGTGGGTAAAATACTTTCCTCAGCGCATCTAACAGAAGTGCATCTGAAAATTAGGTTTCAAATAGTGTCTGGAAGATACTGTGTGCTTTGCAGTAGCTAATTTTCATTCTCACACTCCTGACATAATTAAAGCTGGTATGTGTGATGTTTAGTGATTTATAAGTTATTACTAAACCCATCTGTCTGGTTGAGTTTTGTGTACAACTAAAATTTTGTGGAGACTTCCTGTTTTTATGATGATGAGTAACGTGAGGCAGGTGGTAATGCTAACACGAACCCAAGGACCCATCACACAGTAATCACCAACAGACCAAAGCTGAAAATAAGCAAGACAAAACGCAAACTACAGAGGAGAGCAGACAACAATGTTTCAACAATGTTGAGGTCTGGACTCTGGGGAGGCCAGTCAATGACTGATAGTGTTCCATTGTGTGTTTCTTCTATCCACTTGCATTGGCAGAGTGTTTGAGATCATGCTGAAAAATGAAGCCACTTTCAGTCAGATGCTTTCCAGGTGGTACTGCAAAGTGGATCAGAATCTGATGCTATTCATCAATTTTGACAAGATCCCAACACCACTGGCTGAAATGCAGAGCCAAAATACAGCAGAGCCTCCCCCACCCTGTAGATAACTGTAGACACTCACTGTTGCATCTCTCCTGTAGCTACTGATGATGGGTTGAAACAAAACAAAACCTTCTCATTTTTTCAATTTTACTCCAAAAGGCCTTTTGCCACAGATTTTCATACCAGTTCTTGCAAATTCAGCATAACTCAGCTTTTTCTCCCCGTTTCCTTTTATAAGAATGGCTTGTTGACAGCCAGCCCCTGGCTGAGATTATTTCTGATTAATCTTTAGTTAAACTAAATCAGTTTAAGGGCCAGATGCACCTCATCCTTTTTCTTAAGGACATGACTTTCAGACACCTGCTATTAAAAGCTTTTTTAGGTCTGTCACTTCTTCTTTTTGGCTAATAGCTCTTTGGGAACCATCATGTTCATGCAAAAATACTATTATGCCGTGTCAAATTGTATCATATTTTTTTGCATTTTTTGCAGTTTCAACACATTATGAGGGAAAATTAGTTTTTTGTGACTGGCTGCTAGTAACAAAGTGCCTACAGATAAAATGTCAAATTGGTTCTTTGCTAAATTCCCTCTTATGTGAGGGCACAACACTGGTGCATCCCTGAAGTTCAGCGCCTTTTTTATTCTTGAATGATTCATAGGTCGGTGGCTGATAATTTACATTATCAGGCAGCAAAAATAATGTAAGTTTAACAAATTATTACACTTGTAAACTTGTAGAGTAAGGACTCATGCACTCATCTTGCACTTAACTTAAAATTAACATTCCATAATACAGGATATTAGTTCTCTAGTGATTGCTTGGGGAAAATCGCCTGCCATCCACACACACACAAACACACACACACACACACACACACTTTAATACAGGACTGAGACAGTAACTCCCAGTTTACAATAATGCCATGACTGCTGCTGCATTGAGGCATGAAAGGATAGCTTGTCTGTATCGCAGTGATGCCAATGGCTTCTGGCAAATACTCTTGGATGCTTGTATGAATATATGCTGTGTAATAAAGTCAAAGTTGTTTTCATGAATAAATGTAAGCATTTAAAATTTGAAATGGTAGATTCAATCTGCTCTTTTGGGAAATTCAAACCCAACTGTGACATCTTGTGGCACCACCTTAAATGCTCTCAGCAGGTTCTTCACATACTGATTCTGCTGTTTGAAAACCCTTTTCTTACACAGACAATGTTCCCAAAGAAATAAAGGAACCAGCTTACACGTGATCATCATTGTTTTTGTGTGTGTGTCATTATGCAAATA